AAACAATGTATGTAGCTAATGAAAGCACACACGCACAGGCAAATTACCCACAAGCTAAAGAAAGTAGGTGGTTATTATTAAGGAAAAATAACTAAAAAGCCTCACCAACTCGATAACCAAAACTAACTACAAAATCAAACATAAAAAAATGAAGTTTTTTTACTTAAAAATGAATTATTTAATAATTTGACACTTAGAGACGTAAAACTAAAAGGAAACGGATTTTTATAGTCATTCATTTGTTATATCGCTTTCTGAACTCTGATTCAAACATACTGACAAACGTTTTCATTAAACACACATCTATCTACATGCACACACAGACACATGTATCATACACACAGGCATACATAAATATACTACACACAAATATATGTAAACAGTAAACACACACGTGTGTGTGTGTGTGTGTATATATATATATACACACACGCGCGTATGTATAAACAAATTTTTGTATCTAATAAAATTCTTGTAAATACACTCTTATAATCTTATTCTCATTTTATATATAAACACACTCATGTATGTATGTATGTAAACATACTCACGTAGTATATAACACACAGACATGTATGAAATGGACTAAGTCCGATAATTATTTTAATATATTTTCTGTTTATAAGTCATTTTTATAGATACAAATATTTAGATAAATGTCCTGTTTACTGTATTAATTACATTTACCGGCCTGAATGTCCGAGAAATTTCATAGAAATATGTATCCTCCGTGTAGGATACAGGTTCGATTCTTGTTAGGGGACACATATTTTCTACGAAATTTCGCGTACATTCATACCGGTAAATGTAATTAATACTGTTTATTATGAGCAGGGCATTTATCTACATGTATCTATAAAAATAACGTATAAACAGAAAATATACTCATAAACACTCATATATGCATATATATATATATATATATATATATATAAAATATATAAATATATTTATGGGTTAAAGTGCTCAATATCAGGAATAGAGCGTATGTAAATATGAAAGTGGACATTGAAGTCAACACTTTCCTATACACAATCGTCAAACTTGACGATTGCATATAAGCATGAAACATACTGTCGCCACTGGGTTTGACTTAAATATATATATATATATATATATATATATATATATATATATATATATATATATATATATATATATATATCTAGACATTCTGGTTTCAGTGGTGTGATTTAAAATCCAGCGCGTACTAACGGCTCTAATATATAAAGCAAACAAACACTTTTTAGTTTCTGGTTGTCGGATCTGATAAAATAATGCCCCTTTTATCCTCAAAAATCCCAAAACATGTTCCTTAAACACTGGTTTGTCTTTCATTCTGTCCTGAAGTAACCGAGAGCAATGGATGACGGCGAAACGAGTCGTTAATAAGTTATTCCACACAGACTCATCATCACCACATAGACGTGTCAATCAAAACTAAAGGAAAACTATTTTTTTACCAACGCGTTTCATCCTCTGAGGGTTTTTATCAAGAGCGGACGAAACGCGTCGGTAAAGAATAGTTTTTTGTTTTTAATTCCTTTTGTCTCTTATATATATATATATATGATTTGTTATATACGTGTGTTAAAGTTCGTATAAAAAAATGTCAGGCAAAAAAAAATACATACAATCATTCTAATAAACAAAATTTGATTTTAAAAAAAATTCAAAGAGCACTGCCCTGTCCATCATTCACTTTTGGCATAATTACAAACAGTTCACCCCCCCCAAACAACAGATCAATCACTATCCACGGCGCTAGAAGGATGCCCCCCATACACACAGAACACACGCACGCACGCACGCTTTTTGTCTTACCTGAGAACTAGAGACGACTAAATATGTCTTCTTGGCCTCAGTCTATTACAATGCCTTTGGAGTGAGTTGTATCATTTGTTTGAAAACTTTAGCGCCATTAATTTTCAAGTAAATCATGAAATTTCATTTACCACTTTGACTTTTCTTTTATTTCCCCCGAAAACATTTATGGAAGTCTAAAGTCTTATATGTGGAAAAATGGTCTACAGATGCCATTCCTGAAAATAACTACACGTATTGTTTTTATTTTTTCATCAAATTTTACCCCCAAGTAAAGCAGTTAAAGACACTAAAACAATGGATTACTGCGTGTGAAAGAATTAGAAAACAGAAACATTACTAAGGAGCGAGAACAACAGAAGAGTAATCAAGAAGACAGTAGACAGTGATTGATGTTGTATTTAAATTTTTTGAAGATCAAAGATGGCTGGACAGCATGGAGGCGGGAAACGAGAAGTTCGAGAAAAGAAATTGTTTGCATAGAACTTGCGGCTACATCTAGCGAATTCAACTGTTGCCAATCTAGTACTGCGCTTAAATTCATAAAGTCTAGGTACCAAAGCGAAGAGCGATATTTATTCTGTTCTCTACAGAAATGTGGCACAAGGCCGAAAAGGGGATTGGGGAAAGGACGGTCTTCTTCTGTCTTAACTATAACTTAGCTAGCCGCAAACACTGACCCAATCGTACGAACAATATTCCTTGCACCAAAACCACACATTCATACGTACCTTTCTTACGTACCAAAGCGAAGAGCTCATCCGAACAATTACCATAAAAGTATTTATAGAAAAGGTACAGAGAAAGTAACTTTATGACGGTGGGAGGTAACTGAAGCCGAAACGCCAGGTTAGGACCAATAATATTGCTGATTCTTCTTTGGATTTTATCTGGAATCTCTAAATATATAGCAGGACCATATGTGACAGAAATATTCTGACAAATGGATGAATGGTAAACATAGATCTTTAAGATAGATTCTGGAAAGAAAAATTGTCTAGCACAACACGGTGAAGTAAGGTTCTTAACAGCAGACCTAGCAATGGATTCAATATAGTCTTTTCATTTCATGTCACCCGAGAATTTTAGCCCGAGAAGGCACAACGAGTCACTTTCCTGGGGGTTAGCATCAGCCTTGCTGATGGAAGTCAGAGAGGTGTCTCTCAGATGATTATTGGACACAAGTTTAAATTTTAAAATACACACACACACACACACACGCACAAATGTTTACAGTTGGATAATAGATCTAAAATAAAATTTATTTTTATGAAAGGATCATAAAAAAATATCTGATTATCACCCCTAATTTTAACATTTTTAAAGGAAAATGAAAACAAAAAAGACAAAGAGACGGTTGAAATTTCTAGGACACATGAGGAGAGAAGGCTTGGAAAACATGACACCTACAGGACATATCGAAGACAAGACGGGCAGAGGGAAACAACGAGTGACATACCTAACGCGCTTATGTAAGAATGGGTGGCAGAATGGACAAACATTGCTAAGAGCTAAAAAAGAGATAGATAGTACGGGGCACACAGAAGAAAGAGAATTTTAACATTTGCTTTATTTAGCGAGCTCCCTTTTCATTTTTGCAATGCCCTGCTTGAATCGGTGTTGATTATAACAGGACAGAAAAAAAAAATAATTCATTTAACACTTCGCTAAGAAGAGTAAGGTTTAACACCATATTTTCTTTGGGCGATAGGTTACGTTCAGCAAATTTAACCAATGAACGTGTTGCTTAATAAATAAATTAATAAATAAGGTGCAACTGTCATCGACTCGGTCAGTTTCTTAGGATTATTTTTAAAGGCCAGTCTAGTAATTCGTAAAACTTGCGAAAATATGAATTTCAAATTAGGGAAAATTGTTTTCCATTGACGGTCACACCAGTTCTTTAGCTTTCCTCTACTAACAACCATCATCCCATTTTTAGTAAAAAGGAAGCGGATTTATTTTATTTTTTTTTTTTTTTTAAGTAGAATTAGAAATTAAAAGTACAAAGAAGAAAATTATTTAGTTAGAATAAAATAATTGTAGATACACAAGATTAGAGATCTTTTGAAACGGAGGCAAGAACAACTTTTAGCATACGACCCTTTAAGAATGGTTTCATTTTTTTTAGTCTTGTCTGCACAGAGTTATTCGGCCCACAAGAGGTTGAGGAACCGTTAAACACAATCAATCAATCAATCAATCACACAATTAATCCGTGAATCAGACTGTTCTTTTGTTGCATAAGAAGACGAAAAGGAAAACAGCTTGGAAGATTTTACTGATTTTTGTACAGCATACAAACGTAACGAAATTTACAATGTAAATAAAAAGACCTTTCGTACGTACACATGATCAGCATTTACTCATCAACTCAATAAGAATGTTATTAATAATAACCATCAGGAAATCAATAGTCACTTTTCAAAAATGGTATCTTCTCTGAACCATGAAATTTTAAACGTAAAGCCTAGAAAAATAAACAGAATACACCTGAGCAATCTGTTCATTCGTCGGGGGAGTACTATTGATCAAAGTGCAGTAACTGTTTTTTTGTTTTGTTTTGTTTTTTCTTCTTCAAAATAGTGACGTGTGCTCATGAAATTAATGAATGCTTATCTAATTCAATAAAAAAAAATTCAATTCTGACGTTTCGATCATTAAATTAAAAAATTAATTAAATTCACGGGAAAAAAAAATCCAGAGAAAAAAAAAATCCCTAAAGCAAACAATAACAAACGAAAATGGTACTATTATCAGAAAACGCAATAAATAAATACACGGACTTGAAAACACGATTTAAGAAATCTAAAGGCGTGAAAAATCAGGACCACATTTCAGGGATTCCGGCTTCTTAGTAAACCACGAAATGAATTTGTTAAAGTCTTTCTGAGCTACAACACCTGGTTGGGCCGAAAATGAAAGACCACGTTATTCATACAAAATAAGCAATCTGTTTGATTCAACCTCAGTTAAAATATGACGCTTCGAAATTAGAAAGACGAGAAGGGAAGAATCGAAATGAAATGAAAAGAACGAACGAAGGAAATGAAAAGAAGTGGGAAAAGGAAAGACGGAAGGAACTGAAGAAAGATTGAAATAAAGATTAAAAGAAAGAAGGGATAAATGAAAAGAAAAGATAGAAATAATATGAAATGAAAAAGAAACAAAAAGACAAGAAAGATATAAAAAGAAAGAAGGAAGGAAGCGGACAGGAAGAAATGGAAAAAGGAAATGAAAGGAAAGAAATAAAGAATGAAATAAAAATGGAAAGAAAGGAAAAATGAAATAGAAAGAAAGAAAAGAATGAAAAGAAAGAAAGAAAGGAAAGAAAGAAAAGAAAAAATGAAAAAGGAAGAAAAGAAAAAAATGAAAAGAAAGAAAAGAAAAAAATGAAATGAAAAGAAAGAAAGAAAGAAAAAAGAAAGAACGAAAAACGTGGTTTTTATAACTTCTCGACTTCTACTGTAAGAAGCTAAGGCAGAGAAAAAAATACCGAACCGCAGACTTTTTGGGTTTTATGAGTAAAAAACTATTTGGCATAACCATAAAAAGGTTTGTTTTTTTTCTTTTCTTTTTCTGATTTATTTGGGAATTTTTATCTAGCTGATTGCATTTTCCTGTACATGAACATCACTAACCCGGTACTTTGAAATATCTGAATCAGGCTTCTTCAGTTTTCAGTGGTCATTCATTAATCCCCTCTTCTCTTTTCCACTTCTGATTCGAACGTCACATTCTTAGTCCTTTTTCTGAAATTCACTGGCATTTCGGTGCAGTATTATTCACTGATTTAACCCTCCCCCCAAAAAAAACAAACAAAAAACGCACGAATACACTTAGTACATTTTATTGCTTCTAAAACCTACAGTAAACAGAGGCTAATACTAGTAGTTAGGTTCCGTTCTAGATCGATAAACGCTCACAATATATTTGAGCCCGAAAAGGAAAGGATGATTTTATAAAAATCCTGGCAACATACAATTTTACAGACCTTCTCCTGAAGTGGTCAGTGTCATTTAACATCATCATCATCATCATTAGTAGTAGTAGTAGTACTACTACTATTAATAATAATAATAAATTGAAAATAAATAAATAAAATTACTGAATGGATAAAAATAAAATAAAAAGTTTAGCCCATAGTTGCAAGGTTCATATCTAATGCCCTATCAGTGTAAAATTGTCAACTCACCTCAGAGAAGGAAACTTCTGATTTAAAAAGTTACAAAACAAAAAAGAATCTTTCTCCTTTCGGTTAGTTTTTCATTATTTTTTAAGGTGTGGGGACCTTGAAATTATAGCTTAATTGAAAAAAAAAATAATGGCAAAGAAAACGGGAAGTTATGAGACTTACAATTTAGTTGTGAACTAACATAGTACCCATCAAAAATCATGGGATTATTTACGTATGAATCGGCAATTCTGATAAGGATCAGAGGAACCGTGTTCTCTGCTTAGAATTAGTATCACTCCCTGACACTTCTGAATGTACAATTATTATATTTGTGCGTTAAGTAAAATGTGTTGCACATAAATAAATAAATAATAATAATGTCATCATGATTATCCTCATCATCATTATATTTCGAGTTCTGCTATGGTCAAACTATCTACCAAGTCTGCGGGAAGACCTAAGGCAGGTAGTGGTGTGTTGTTATGGTTACATTTCATGATTTGTTTTTCTAACCCCCATAACATCACTAGCGTTACATGGACAAAGTTCTTCTTAGTGTGTGGTCTGTACTTATCACGATAATTTTTGTATTTCTCTTAAGTTGGAATTTCTAGGGATTTTTTTCAACCTGTTGTTGTGTTCCTTTTTTTTATCATTCCAAGCGCACTTACTATGTTTGGTACTATTCTTGTTTTCAATTTCCACATTTTTCCTATTTCGATTTCCAGGTTGTTGTTGCTATTATTATTATTATTATTATCTTTTATCTCTGTTGTATACACATTTCCTTCCGGGTCCCAACCAGAGACCTAAGGTTAGAAATGGCTTCTTGACATTTTCCACTGATCATTTTTGTCAAAAAACAAACAAACAAAAAACAAAACCTAAGATCACATACATTTTACATAGATAAAACTCTTCGCAATATGTGAGTTGTACTTGTGAGTACATTTTTTTTGTATTTCTTCAAGACATTACTATTATTATTATTATTCTATTATTATTAATGATGATGAATTGGATGCACATTATATTTGTGACAAGTTGTCATACTGATGGACAATTATACGAAAAGCTTCTTCATTTAAAAAAAAAGGAGTTTTTTTAAATTATTCTACTTAGAGCGCCTACTCACGATCAGAGTCGCTGACAAGTGCCTATGATACTAACAGACTAACTCATATTCTATGAATTTTTTTTTCTTTCTTAAACCATGGATTTAGAATGTCGCTCCTTCAGTATTGATTAGTCAAACCATTGCTTAACTAAGTCTGTTATGCTAGTCATTGTCAGTTGTTTACATTGAAGTGTCACTGACGACAACAAAAAAAAATTGTAGAAGTTAAGAACGGATTTACTCTTCTTATTTATAATAAGATATAGCTGCATATGACAAGGTTTTTGGGGGGTTTTCTTTTAAGTTCAAATGTTCAATGCAACGAAATGATAGGTGAAAAAAAAAAAGACGAGGGTCTCTAGAAGGGCAAAAAGTTTCTTTTCTTTTTTTAAGTAGATATTTTATTTTGTTTTATTTTCTAAGACACCAAAAGTCGATGCGTGTCCTGTACGATTTTCCCCCGGGCTGCATGCGCGCGTGAGCGACCGCGGATGTAAACATTAAAAAAAAAGTAAAATAAATCAACCAAACAACGTACGAATATTTTAACAACACCACGAAACAATTTTTCCTATTTTTAAAGAAATACATAAAAAGAAAGAAAAAAAAGGCGTTGAATACGTGAATGTTAAAGAAAGAAAGAAAGAAATTATTTACGGATACAGTCCAGTGGTTAGAGCATATTTGTCCTCGTTGTCAATTACAAGAAAAAGTAAAAATAAAAATAAAATAAAAACAGCATTGGAAACAGTAGAATAAGAAGGCCACTTTCACTTTCATTTTCACTACCAGTCGTATACTTGTAAAATCAAATCTGTTCAACTGTTCAAGCCTGTAAATGTATATCACTCATCCTGTTGTATACACATTTCCTTCCGGGTCCCAACCAGAAACCTGAGGTCATAAATGGCTTCATGACATTTTCGACTGACCATTTTTGTGAAAAACAAACGAAAAAACTAAATATCACACACATTTTTTTTACATAGGTAAAGTTCTTCGTTATGTGTGAGTTGTACTTGTGAGTACAAATTTTTGTACTTCTTAAAGAAGTACAAAATTTTGTACTCACAAGTTATTATTATTATTATTATTATTGTTGTTGTTGTTGTTGTTATTATTATTTTGCTTTGTCGGCTAAACTGTTTTTTTGTTACCTTGTGTGTAATAAATAAATAAAAAGAAATAGAACAATTAAGAAAAACTAATATTGACATCTGTTCTGTTTAGTTCAGAGTGCCGGGTCGGTGATACTTGTTATCACACATTTACATTGGAGAAAAACACGCAGTGGACTTTAAGAAATAGTTACTATTATTAACACTTAAAGTCATGTTTTTACTTCAACAAATACATTATTTAAAAACAAGAAAAATGTTTTGAAAGAATGTCCAAAATAATACAAGGAACTGAAAACAGCCATAAAACAATGACGTAACAAGTGGGTTATATTCAGAAACGTGCCCCCTTTTTTTTCTCTCCTCTCCCTTTTTATGCTTATTGCTTTGGAATTAATACAAGTGAAAGGATAGCTTTCGCCGGGTATGACAGGGTGGTTAGAAAAAATAAACTGACAAGAAAAAAAAAAACAAAAAAAAAAAGGAAAAGAAAGAAAGGACAACTGAGGAAAAAACGAAAAAAAATCATTTTTTTTTTCATTTTTTTTTTTTAAGACTCACCTGTCAAAGTCAGGAGGCTTGAATTCTGAACTCTGTTAAGTTGAACGAAGTTGACTTTTTTCTTTTTTTTTTTTTTTTTTAAAAAAAAAAGTGCCAAGAAGTGTGCCCAAACAGCCAACAAACAAGAGTAACACTCCACGAGAGTCTAGAGATCGAAGTGAAGTCGGTATTGCAAAGGAGAGAAAATGCGACCAGAAAGTAAGGCGAAAAGAAGTTTACCAGAAACGGCGGCAGGAGAAGAAGGAGGAGGAAAAGGAGGAGGAGGAGGAGGAGGAAGGGATGGATGAAGATGTTGAATAAGGCATTGTCTCCGTACTTGCTGCTGCTGCTGCTGCTGTCGCTGATCTTTCGGCTGAGGACGATGGTGGTGCTCTTAAAGCTGTTGTTGGGGTGTCTGTGTACAGCACCTAATATTTCTGCTGCTACTGCCGGTCTGTGGTTGAATTTCTGTGACAAGGCGCGTGAAATCATCACCAGTCGATCTATAATGCGTACGCGCTCTCACAGATATGTGTGTGCATGTGTGTGTGTGTGTGTGTGCGTGCGCGCGCCTGTATGCTATATATGTTCATTTCATGTTAAAACAACTCATATGCGTGTTTTTCTTTTTTGACGGAGCTTCAACGTTCTGTCTTGGAAACACCACGTTTGTGTTGATTGTCGATACACCTGTGTGCCAGTATATGTGCAATTCGTCGCTTTAAAGCTATAACTTGTCTCAACCAACTTTTTACATTGGATTAAATGATTATATAGCGCCAAATTTCTTTGTAACCTAGCTCATCAAATCCAGTTTAAATGCCGGCTCTTAATAAAAAAAAAAAAAATGGACTCGAACACTGAACCTTGACAAAACGGATATAAACTTAAAAAAATAAAAAAGTGCGAAAATGCACACAGACTTGAGCAGAGAACGTTACTGTTGATTATAGAAATAGTACCCAATTCTGTTTGTCTTGTGCCAAACTTGACCAAGTCTATCAAATTTCAAATCCGTGAATAAATATAAGCAGCGTGTCCACGAAAGTATATGAAACATTTTATTAACTTTTCTAGAAGTGTATATCTGAATATGAGCATGGGGAAAAGGCAAGTTATAGACATCTCTTCTTCTATGTTCCGTGTCCCTTCAGGACGTTGGCGATCAAGGCTCTCCACAATTTCCTGTCCTTTGTAGCTCTTAATAACTTTTTTACCATCTCTCGCCAACCCTACTCCGCGAATTACGAGGTCAATTTTCTTTGTTATATCATGGCTCTTCATAACACAGGCGGTAATGGCTGTCCACGATTTCTTTTTTTTTTTTTCTTTATTATCTCTGAATTGCCATGACTTCTTAGGGAAGCTACCGTTGTCTTCCCCACGATTTTGAATTCAGACATTTCTTTCTTCTAGACTAGTCTCTAGCCTTGGTTGACAGCTAGTCTTCTCTGCTGTTTAATACATAGCTGTGGGGATAAGAGACGGAATCGCGACTTTCCCAAGGGTATCTGGGCGAAAGTGAGGGCAACAGACTAAACCGGAATTTGAACTCGGATCGCCAGTTCCACTTTCGACACCGAGTAACTGTTACACAATTGACACATCACTAATGGTCGGAATATTTCTTTTTTAATTGTAAAAATAATTAAGGAATATTTAGAGACATTCAACTCGTCTGTGCATGAATCATTTTCTCTGCCCTACAAGTGTATGTATGCGTGTGTGTCCACATGCGTGCACACTCGCATACACACATATAGGTAAAAATTCAGAAGTAGATAAAAAAAGACAGTATGAATAAAGACAAAAGGAAAACTATATTTTACCAGCGCGTTTCCTCCTCTGATGGACTTTATCACATATGAGGACGAAACGCGTTGGTAAAGAATAGTTTTCCTTTTGTGCTTATTTATATATAGTAGGCGAATGCCTATGCAGGGAAGTTTCAAAAAATTATTAAGGCCAAGTCCTAAGAAGACTTCCCCCGCCAGGCAGCAACTCTCCTTCTGGAGAGCGATGGTTTTATTGCCAGTAAACCCACTTTTTAAACTGGCCTTTTGTCACGTTCAGTAGCAACGTGTACACAATGAAAACACACACATATATATATATATATATATATATATATATATATATAGGCTCAAGTGTAGTACGACTCATAGTTACTATGTGCGATACCTGATATTCACGCACACACACACACACATATATATATATATATATATATATATATATACACCGTATATTTTAGGTTTGTTTTTAATATGCGTTCTCTTAACATGAAGTACTTAAGCTAATTGCAAAATATCTTCTTTTATGTGTTGTGTCCCTTCAGGATGTTGGCGATCGGCCCTCCACAATTTCCTGTCCTTTGTAGCTCTTAGTAAATCTTTGTAATTTATGCTGTCTCTCCTAAACCCTGTTCTGTCAACCGTTCATTTTACACAAAGTTCGTTAGGTACGTTATGTCCCTGTCCCGTTTGTCTTCAATATGACCAGTCACAATATATACTCCTAAAAATTGGTTCAAAACTTACGTATTGATTTGGTTGACAGACAAATTGGCATTAAAAGAGGTTCGCTTACCTGAAACGTATCACTCTGTGTGTGTAAAACGGCATAAACGGGCTTTGTGTATTCGTGAGCTTCAGTTTTGTATGTTTGTGTGAAATACAGTTAACGAGGAAATAAACGAAGAGAAAATAAAATAAATTAGCAGGGTGGGGGTCGAAATTCGATTGCATACATTACAATCATATTGTTAGGGGAGATTTTATAAGTATATAGATAATGCCTAAAAAGAGAATTAACAATGCCGTATGACGATAAACTACATCCGGCAGCTAAGTTTTGAGGAGAGTCGAACCACCACTTAATCGCTGTTGTTCAACCTGACCCCGGGTTGTAGCGTCTGTTAGGATCCCAGCTACGGGCAAATAATGAACCTGCAAACTGGGGTCAAAACACTATGAAAGTATAAACATACACTTTTATAGCAAAATTACCAGCAATAGATTTTTAATAGTAAAAAAAATTTCCGGCAATAGATTTTATTAGTAAAAAAATTTACTAAAATTCCCCAGAAAATTAAATTTCGGCATTAAATAATGTATATGCCATTAAACAAAGAAAGAAAGAATTAACTATGTGTAGGAACACTCTACCTCGTAAATGTGACCGACACAAAATTCGGTTCTTAAAAATAGCCTTTTTCTCACGGTTCGAAAACAGGCAGCTTTCTGAAAATGCGAACTTGTGACTGTCTGGGCCCCCGTTACATAGTTTCATCTTGATCATCGTAGCGTGTTATGCTACAAGGATCAAACACATTATCAATGGATCCTTGCATTAAAAACCGCTGAAACCTAGACTTAATTAGATATGGGCAAATTGACGATCGTTGAACAAAAGTAGACTACAAAAGTGAAAGAAAGAAAATTAAACCTTATCATATGCTTCGCTATTCAGATCAGCATGCTCATCTTGGTTGTTATTTGTATCTTTTAAATCGTTTCACGCCAAACAAAACGATGAACGCAAAGGTTGGGGGGGGGCTACAGGGAGTGAAAGAGAATGAGAAACCTGAGAATTGAGGAAAAGACCAAAACGAACATGGTTCAAAAAAAAAAAAAAAAAGAAAAAAGGTGTATTTCCAAGAAGGCTCAAGAGGATGGTATACCTCAAACTCACACCTGACCTCAAGTGGATCCATCGTGGACACCCCGAGACGTTGTAATGGTTAGTAAGCTTGTCTCGCTAGAACAATTACGACTGAGTAGTGAGTTCGATCCTCACTGGGTGCCGCATACTTTCGGCCTTGAAGCTACGCTTGGAAAATCGCTATACGATCCATCGTTAAATATGTAGATAAAATTATCGGCTTCCGTCAGATGAAGCCGATAATTTTATCTGCATAAATTTATTGCATATATCCTCATGCTATCCTCTACCTTTATAATAGCCGGATCAGGCCGAAAACGGAGTACTGTTGCCATATTTGGACAGGAACTGCCCAGACCTCACTTTTCAGTCTTTATTCAGCCCAAAAGCGTATCCGAGTCCTTGTGAGAGAAAAATTATTTTCCACACGCCAACCTCTCTCTCACAGTCTGAATGTGGCGAGTCTCTCACTGCTCTATCGCGTCTACCATGAAAAGTGCACGGAAGAACCGCATTTTCTGATTCCACCAGGTCTGACCTTCATGGCTAGGACCCGCCATGTCACTTACATAGTAGCAAACCACTCTCATTACCTCAAACAGCTTCTTCCCGCAAACCACTGCCCTATGGAACAGACTCCCTGATCACTACAATCGGAACCTGTTCAAGTCTAGAGTTAACCGTTATCATCCCCTCTTATCCATATAAACTACCCCTTATCATAACCCTCTACCTCGAGTGGCTCCCGGGGCTTGTACAGGGTGAACCTAACTATAAAAAATAAAATAAAATAAATGGAAGATGACGATTAGCGTTGCACTTAATTATTTGAAGATCGCAGTTATCAGGGAAGCAAGGAATCGGAAGGGAGTTGTACAGGTGGGAAGTGTGAGTAAAAAAAAAACTGTTAGAGTAGACGTGACGGATGCATCTAGCTAGTTCAACGGTGATGCATAGTTGCTTATCTAGTAGCACTCTTAAATTCGTGTAGTCGGAGCACCAGGGATAAAATCTCATCAGAACCGTTGTTATGAAAATATTTGTAGAAAAGACAGAGGGAACACTATTTACATTATTCGGATTATTGTTCTCATCTTTGCCGCCATATTTACTACAACGTTTTCGGTCGTTGTACGCTCCGGCCTTTAGTTGGAATGTCGAACTGAACCCTTTATTTCGCTCACTGGGGTAGACTGTTCTAGTTCTACGTGCCATGTTTAATGGATGTCAGTTATCAGTTATCTCCTGTTAATTCCCCTCTCCAAGTTCTCCAATACCTTAACCGAGTATTGAACTCACACTCTTTGCGTCTTGTCATCGAACCAACGTCTTTATCCACTGTGCCATGTGTCCTTGAAGACATCTGTGTATTCATTTCTGGGTATTATAAACCTAATGTCTTCAGCAACAAATATTTTTTACCAGTGCTCATATTGCAATTTTAGCTGTTATAATACCATGTTTTTACCAGAGCTCATATTGCAATTTTTGTTGTTATTATCGCTTTTCTCTGGCACTTCTTATTACTGGTTCCCATATTTTATTCATTTCTATGCTCGGAGAGCTCAGAAGATTTTTGTGGCCTAGCATATGTGCTGATTCCTTAAGTTTACGAATTTTCCAATGGTGTTCTTTGACTACGATCTCAACCTGATCCCACAGAGGGCGGTGATCCCCATTTTCTCGTCGGTGAAAAAGTGACTAAAGTCGAGATGCCTGATCAGGATCGATGACGTTACAGACCCTTCTTTGGATTTTGTCATGAATTTCGAGATGTACAGGAGGAGCACCAGACTAGATATGGAAACAGTCTTCAATACACCAGCGAA